AGATTTAGCAACGACACCTTGTACTAGATTCACCGACAAACAGCAGATCATGTGGTCTGGCCATCTAGTTAGAATGCAGTAAGATCAAATACCATCACATGCACTACATCTTAGAAAATTAGTTTCAAGGACAAGAGGATGGCCACGGAAGACATGTCTCGACAACATTAAAGACACTCTACGCCTTTACTGCATAACAATAGCCAGTGGCAGCCAACGTGTACTGGATCGCAAAATATTACTACCCACGGGACCTAACGGCAGAAGTGGTGTATGATGATGGTGATGATGAAAGTTAATAAATTTTGATGCGTGAGTTAACCAAAATTAGCTTATATTTAGGTCTTTTCCCTCGTAAAGTACTGGGGTATGGGCTATTCTTTAAGAGGTTCTATGAAAGGTAGCTTATATTTAAAGTGTTTCCCCTTGAGAGGTACTGAGATATAGACTATTCTGTAAGAGGTACTTCAAAAAGTAGCTTGAATTTAAGTTTTCTTCCCTCGAGAGGTACTGGAGTATGAACAACGCTATAAGAGGTACTATAAAAGGTGGCTTATATTTAAGGTTTTTTCCCTCGAGAGGTACTGTGGTATAGACTATTCTATAAGAGGTAGTGTAAGAGGTGGCTTATATTTAAGGATTTTTTTTCCCTCGAGAGGTACTGCGGTATGGACTATTCTATAAAAGGTACTACAAAAGGTAGCTTATATTTAAGGGGTTTCCCCTCGAAAGGTACTGGGGTATGAACAGTTCTATAAAAAGTACAATAAGATGCCCCTTTTCTGTCATTTGAGTCCCTGTAGGGTAGCGGCAAGACACGTGCTAGCCGACCCAAAGGTCGTGGATTCCATTCCACTTCGAGTAGGTTATTTTTTTAGGGGGTCAAATTTGACTTTGGTCCCTGATCGACTTTACTTAAAATGAGTACAAAGTAACGTCCTAGAAGGTAAAGGCGATCGTCTTGATGTTGAACGCATCAACCACAGAGATTTGTCCATACAAATATAAGCCCAGCTGATTATGCCCGATGCCCCACTGACGTTTAAAACAACACCGGCTTCATCGTCACATGATATGAAATACAAGAAGTAGTGGACAACATTCAGTACCAAGGGACCATGGAGCTGTACCGCTGGCTTTGGGGAAACAAATCTCTTGGGCACAGGGCTGGGCATTCTGACTTAGAGTACAACCTGTTGCCCTGGCAGTAAGTTCCCTCTGTCTGCATCGCTGGTAATGCCAGTACATCTCGGCCCCGAAGACATTGTAGGAGTTGCCAGAGCAGCAAACACTATTGAGCCGCTTGTTGGGATTCCGGCTCCTGATTTTTTCTCAAGGCTTACTCCCGAAGTGCTTTCCGTAAATAGGGTACAGCCACAAAACAACGAACGGAGGTTTAAAATTAGGGTTCCTTCCCCTCGACGAGAAGAAACTAGTCAAACTCACGTGACTTGCCTTTGTTTTGTGGCAAAAAATTGTCACGTTCAACCAGCAAACCCAAAGAGGGAGATTTTGGTTATAATTGAGACTAGGTTATTTGCGACATAAAAAATGGCTTAACACTGCTCGCTACCAAGTAGCCCTGAAAAGGATTTTTGCAGTGTTGACACGATCAAATGAGACAGACCCAAATACAGTTCTGACCGCTGGCCTATGGGCCACCAGGTCGTCGACAATATTCATGTAACGACAACAATGGTCCTGAAGTTTTATGCAGGTATTATGGAAGATTCTTGATAATCTTTTTCTTCTTCTTCGCGTTCACCAGCTGTACACTCTGGCGGAAAGTTCTGGTTGCTCGTCCACTACTGAACTGCAGTCCTGCTCCAGAACCTGAGTGTTGCGTGTGCATCAATTTTACATATCTCATTCTCTTGAATACAGACTGTTGGTTCCTTGCCTCTCCGGCAGATGCACTCCGACTTCAAAGGAAGCTCCCCAATTAGTCGACTCTTACGACATGCTTTTTGGGGAGGCAGTGGATCTATTCTTGTTTTCCCCACAATGGGGCCCCGGAACCCACACGGGGGATTCTTGATAATGTAAGCTGGTCTTGTCAGTACACTCGTCATCCTTATGCTTTGTCATTCTTATGCCACGGAATATTAAAATGAACTACAGTATTCTGCAAAGTCGGAAAACTGTCAACGACAACTTGTCTCAGATGCTGGTCCCTCTTAGAGACAAAGTGCTCACTTACTACAGCAACTTATTATTGTTCTACACACGACCCAATGCCATGTATATGAAGAAAGCAGCTGGAAACTTCATTTTTAAAAATGTAATTAACTCGTTTTTGCCGCCTTATAAATGTATGAACCTTTAGGACTTGCTAAGGAGTCTTTCAGTGCATTGCAATGTGACAGCGATATTGTGAAAAAAAACTTGATACGTAAGGATGATTTTCTTTTTTATTTTAAACACTACATGATGTAGAAAACATCAAGGCTCCAAGACTCAAAATCTATTATCCTCTTCTGCCAATTACTGCCTTTACATACCACTTTTGCGGTGTAGGCGGAGGGGAAAGGGGGGGGGGGGTTAACCTGAGGATTTAGAGCCGCAAGGCTAATGCTGTCGCCGCGACTGTGCAGGTGATGTTTTTATTTTGCCTCCCGATAGAAAAGTCCCCAGTCTTACTGAGGATTCGAACCCGGGTCTCCTGCATGAAAGCAAAGCGTTTCTTTTAACCGTTCGGCCAGCCTCTCCTCGGATTGTCCTCTTCAACACAGGATACAATTTTCTGTCATTAACAAAGACTCTTCCGTGTTCATTTTGCTTTCAGGGAGCTACATCCGAATCCACTCGTGAATTGCCGGATGACGAGATGCTGCTTTAAGTGGTATAAAAGGTTACTTAAATGAGGAACTATTTAGACAAGTATGAGATTACAATTTGCGGATTTAACTTAGGGAAAAAATTTTCCAGTGTCACGATGCAAAGTGATTATCCGTCTCACCAATGAACTTATAAAATAATACTTGCTATTTTAATATTTTTACGGGACCTGTCGTAACTACATTAAAGTTGGGATGCAATTATAGTGGAGGCTTCTCAAATCCTAGATAATTAAATCCGGTAAAACATGTAGGGGAAAATCCACGATATTTTTTTTTCATCTATACAGAAATGGTGGTGGTGATAGAGTCGGTGGTGGTGGTGGTGGTAGTAACAGCAGCAGTAGTAGTAGAAAAGAAGAATAAGAAAAAACGAAGAAGAAACAGAAGAAGAAGAAGAAGAAGAAGAAGAAGAAGAAGAAGAAGAAGAAGAAGAAGAAGAAGAAGAAGAAGAAGAAGAAGAAGAAGAAGAAGAAGAAGAAGAAGCGAAGAAGAAACAGAAGAAGAAGAAGAAGAAGAAGAAGAAGAAGAAGAAGAAGAAGAAGAAGAAGAAGAAGAAGAAGAAGAAGAAGAAGAAGAAGAAGAAGAAGAAGAAGAAGAAGAAGAAGAAGAAGAAGAAGAAAAAGATGTAGAAGAAAAAGATGTAGAAGAAGAAGAAGAAATACTATATGATGCTTCGCAGACGATTATTATTTCACAACACTATTGACTGGAAAGACGGACAGGCGGCAACCAAGAAAAATGTTAAAAGAAAAGCTGGACCACGTGACAGTTGGGAACGATTTATAGAAAGAGTGGTACAGGAAAACGACGCATCGGCGACCAGGTCTCCCATTAGCTGGCCGGTTGACGACGCCGTCGCCGCTAGGAAGAGTGGGAGGTCTGCGTGCCGATGTCGGATGCAATTTTGTTGTTGTTGCAAAGCCCCACCCTGGTTGTTGCGGGGGGCCCTAACATAAGCCATCCTGTGTGTTGAATGGAGTTTGTGGGACCTGTCCAAGTGTGATCCTCATCCGAATGGTGACACTTTGTGTCACCGGGTGTTCATCGCCTGGTGGGTGAACGTCATCATCGTCGTCAGTATTTAAGTCAGTCCCCTGTGATCGCTTTAACACCACACGGTTCCTTTTCATGGCTTTTGGCTGGGTGCAATGATAAGCCATTTTGTACGACTCGGATAAGTTGGTCACAATTTTAGCCTAAAGATCCCCCTTCAAGGATGCTGGTTGAAGGTGACGAATTTGTTTTGTTTTGAGTAAAGTATCGGATTGGAGTCGGCTCTGTGGCTAAGTCGATGCCAACGCTTCGTAATGAAATGCCGAGATGCGGGGTTCGATCCCAGTTGCGGACCAGGCGCCTTGCGTTGGTTTCGACAGTGGTATCAAGAAAGCCGACCGTCCAGGTAGCAATGACAAATAACTAGACGTAAATTTGCCTAGAGAAACCACACAACAGGCAGGGGCTATTGGGGTTAGTTCTGCAACGTCCTGTAAAGGATACGCGACTAACCTAATCTTATCGGATCGGGGGAAAACGACGAGTGTCCTGACAGTGTTTTGACATGTCATGGAATCGTATCAGCACGCGATCTGTGTGCACAATGTTGGACTTAGCAAATTGTGGACAAACATGATAGTCACCGTCAGTGAACAATGAACTTCTCGAGGAAACAGTTTGAAAAGCTACTTTTCCAAGACTGGTTTCGCTTCCCATATGGGAGGGGTGGGTGGGGTGTGGGAGCTGTGGGGGGGGGGGGGGAGAGAAAGTGTAGAATAGATTCACTGCCCCCTTACAAGCATTTCTTTGTAGGAGTTGGCTGAAATGGCATGTGTTTGATGGAAAGATGCAGATATCGCAGCCTAAGTTGTAGTCTACAACAAAGGGGCAAGCCGCCCTGTTAGGGGCAAATGCAGCAGGAGTAGTAGTAGCAGCAGCAGCAATAATAGTAGCTCTAGTAGTAGTAGTAGTAGTAGTAGTAGTAGTAGTAGTAGTAGTAGTAGTAGTAGTAGTAGTAGTAGTAGTAGTAGTAGTAATAGTAGTAGTAGTAGTAGTAGTAGTAGTAGTAGTAGTAGTAGTAGTAGTAGTAGTAGTAGTAGTAGTAGTAGTAGTAGTATAAGAAAAAGAAAGAAGAAGAAGAAGAAGAAGAAGAAAAAAAAAAGAAGAAGAAGAAGAAGAAGAAGAAGAAGAAGAAGAAGAAGAAGAAGAAGAAGAAGAAGAAGAAGAAGAAGAAGAAGAAGAAGAAGAAGAAGAAGAAGAAGAAAGGCTACCCTGACGCTATATAGATGATTGTTATTTTACTAATGAACTTTACAAAAGGGACACTCTTTTTTGTGGCTAATGAACATACAAAATCGACACGTTATTTTGCTATTTGCTGATGAACATTACAAAGCAAAGTGTTATTTACCGGAGTCGCCTTCTGGTAATCGAGGAGCTGATTTGAAGCGGGATCCCTTGAAGCCATATTGCTAGCAAATGTGTTCCTACGGTACAGATATAAACGTATTTACTGAACTACGTCAATGCAGACAAGTTGACTAGTCGGATTATTTCTGCGTTGCGTTCACTTGTGAAGCAAATAAGAAATGTTGAAAACGGATTCGTGACTGGAGTTTTATACTCAACCAGGTGCACACGCTTTGGCGAAATTAGTCAAGTCATAAGGGGGTGACTGACTCGCCGTATCCTTGAAACTCCTCTGTGACAGTTCATGCCACTTGTGGATTGGACAAGTAGTGGCAAAATTGCTTAGAGCTGCAAGTTGAAGGGGCAGACCGTCAGAGAACTTTAGTCTGGTTGCGCACCAGGGCGAGCTGGTCTGCAGCAGACGATAGTTCTAAATTTGCCGGCTATGTTTGCATTAGCTGCAAGGACAATATGTGTATACCTAAAAAATGTGGTAAATGTATACTTGAAGAAATGAGGTGTAAACATGTTTACCCAACCAAAGTGAATGGAAATTCGAAAGGGGAATATGTATAGAGAAGTGGGGAATAGTAAAACAGGTTACTACAATATGAAACGAAACAAATAATAGATGATTTTTTCCCTTCAGTTTTCCCTCTCAATATTTGCAATATGTAGGATTAACATCTCAACGATACGAGTCAAAAAAAATACACACTTAGGGGAAAGGCAAGTGACATATAAACATATCATGACCGGTACCATTAATATTGGAACTCTGCGCTGGCTGCTGAAGATGTAGAAGGAGCACGCATGCGAATGCCCTGAGTGCTGTTATATACACTCTTGACTCAACTCAGTTAAACTCAACAAATACATATCACAGGAACCACGTGTAACGGTATATCACAGTTATATTTATGTATTTAAAAATGGTTGCTAAGTAACATGTAGTCCAATGTGGCTGGGTTGTCAATGTGATAGATGTTTTTCTCAAAGTCCATGCCGTGGGGCGTTGGTAGTCATGTATATTCAAAATCGTCTGCCTCGTGAACTGTCAATCAACTTAGACACAGATAATCCTCCATACCATGATGTCCAACTAGTATGTTTTCTCTCGGTCTCCCTCTGCATCTCCTCGCAATCAGCTTTCCTACTGTCACGATGTACTCCAGTTTTCTCCTTCTCAACGCATTCCCAAAGAATTTAGATTGTTTCTTTCTGACGTGGTCAAGCAGTTCTCTTTGTGAGTCAGTTTCTTTTAAGATATCTTCATTACTCTTTATACCTGTCTAGAGTATTCTCATCATGCGTCTATGAAACCGCATCTCATTAGCTTCCAGATAAGTTTTCACTGATTTACCAACTGTCCATAATTCACTTCCATATATCAGGATAGGATTTATTTAGCTTTCAAGAATTCTCTTTCTCGTTTCAATTGACAAGGAAAGATTGCCTAAAATATTCTTAATTTTATAAAATGCTGCTTTTGCTTGAGCTGCTCTACATTTAGCTTCTTTAATTTATCTTTCATGTGACGTTATCAGGGTACCCAGGTACTAAAACATATCAGCTTGCTTGAGGTTTGGTCCATCTGTGATAGATCTAATGCCGCCCATTTAAACTCCAACACATAACTCTGAGAAAATATATAGGTTAGCAATTTTTATCACTATCATCACGTCATGTTTTGCCGTCTCACATAAAAATCAAAATCAGGAATCAGGTCAGTGTTATTGTCTCGCCCTCCGTCTGATGAACGTTGAGAAGAAAAGGAGCACAAGACACCTGTGATCTTATTTAATTTGTCTTGTGGCAAATGTGTATGTTTTTTAAAGGCAGAATACTAGTAGTCTGAAGATGAGAATAAATTGGACACATTATGAGGATAAGCAAACAGAGGATCCCTAAATAGGCAATATAATAAGAAATAAATGGATTCCGGAAACAAGGACGCTCAAAACAAACCCTAAGACGAACGTTGCTGAGAGTGGCCAAAGTGCTGAACTGGATTCCAAGCACGATATCGCAAAGATGGCCCTGGATGGAACGAAAGGGATGAATAGATTAAGAACCCGATGATATGTATAATGGCACACCAAGATAATGATGATGACTGTAAGAGTAGTAGTGGACTGACCGGGTAAGACAGGTTGGGTGTCGGAGAACTTATTCTGGTAATCTTAGTTTTAGCTTCATAGCAAACGGGTTACCTCATTATTGTTCCCTTCCTATGCCAACGAAAAACTCACAGAATGACCATCACTGTCCCTTGTGGGAAAAAAATCGACACAGACTGCAGTCTCAGCATATCTACTGGCGTCCACATGCATTACAGTTATAAGGCAGCCATCAGAAGTGCTAACACAAACAGTCCGACAGTAGAAATGCAGTTCACCGTCGACAGAGGCAGCAGTTACAAACAGATGAGCAGTTGCACACGCGTTTAATTTTAATCACGTAAGGCACCATAAATTCTGTGGCAACAGGCTACACGCCATTTCTGAATCTACAGCTCACACCAAATCGGAGGAGTCGATTGGAAAGTTATAGACGAGGAGAAAGATGATCGTGTCGATAGTGATAATGATGATGTCTTGTTAGCTGCATGCTTCTCACGTGACTCTGATGCTTGTTTAACAAAATGGCTGGAAACAACTGTTCTCGTCTGTACTTTATTTATTGTGATACTTCAGCAATGTTACAAATACATCAATGATATTCTAAATAGCGCTGTCTTCTCTGTATGGCTAAATACTCGTAGGTTCGCGTTGTGTTCTCCAGTTGCTTTTTTAAAACTGGTTCTAGTGTCTCTACTGCCACCTGGCTTCTAGTGCTGTTTGGTACTAACGGCTTGATCGTCGACTCTAACATCTCTATAGTGTTCCTAATATGCCTCTGTTAACCATGGATCCATGTATCTTATGTGTCGTCTCTGTAGCTCGATGTCTCGTTTCATGTCTGCTCTCCAGTGACTGTCTTCAAGGTTAAATATGAACGGCTGCTCTGCTTCCAGTGTTGAGCTGGCATCAAGGATCATTGAGACTAGTCGCTCGTCCTCTGAGTCTCAACGACTGAAGGCTTCTAGTGTTGGGCTTACATCTCTACCACTGAAGGCTGCATTGAGAGTCAATGTGACTGGCCTCTCCTCTCTTTCGAGTCTTGTGGACTGAAGAATTGCTAAAGTGCTTTGTTACTCGCTATTTATACTTGGATGCTGGAATGCTAGATATTTGTTTTCTTCTCGCTTTGTCTGCTTCTAGAATATTCTAGTACACCTCAACTTGTTTACTAAGTAGGTTCTCACGTAGGATTTTCTAAAAATATCTCGATTGCATCAGATTTCATCATCTTATTCCACACAAATATGGCAGTTAAACTGACAATTGACGTCAATAGAAGCTTCAAGAAAAACAAGTGCAATTGCGTTTGCTTTGATAGGGCACGACAACAAAGTATTAACTAGTACGACAGGGTTCGGTCACATGATGAAAAGTATGCATTTCAAAACTTCTAGAAAGAAGGCCAAGGCCAGACAACCTCAGTTTTGTGTCAATAGCTTGTTTTGGCGGGAAAAGAAGATTCTGGAAAAGGAAATGTCAAGGCTACCAAAACTTGTGGATTTTCAGTATACCACAACTCTACAAAATAACCTTCGTAACATTTGCAATAATTTGCATTCAAACAGAGAAATGACATAACAGAACATAACATGTTTTATAATACCTCATCGATGTGATCTTGAATGATCCGGTTAAAATGGACGCTAGACAGCGGCGCTGTTCGAAACAGAGGCAAATTTGTTGCTTCTGCCGGACGGTGGCCGAAGTAATTTTGCTCCATTTGTAGACTGGATATAGTTTCGTCGCCCAGCTTCTGAGTTGAATGCATGGCGTGACCCTGTGAGCTGCGGATTGCATTTAGAATGTTTTTTCGACTGTGACCAACGTGGTGGTGTGAATTGTGGATTCAGAAAATGGCGTGATGCCGGTCGTGGGTGCCCGTATGTGATTACAATTGATCGCGTGGGCAACTGCTGATCTGTTGGCGACAAGTTCTGCTATCATCAATGATGAACTGCATTTCTAATGTTGAACTGTTTGTGCTAGCACTTCGGATGGCTACCGGATGCTTTAATGCGAGTGTATGCTAGATATGCTGAGACAGCAGTCTGTCAAACTTTCCACAAGGGACTGTGATAAACATTTTGAGTGTTTTTCGTTGGCACAGGAGCGGAGCAAAGATGGGGCGACCCGTTTGCTATGAAGCTGAAACTAAGACTACCAGACTACCAGATAATACCTCATCATTTCTTATCTTTTTGTCTGTATATGTTGACCATTATAACACCAGGATTTGGATGGGCTGGGTTCAAATCTACTCAGGAAAAAAAATATATATATCTCTTGCCTCTCTTTCACCTCTTTTCTGACGATGTATGGGAAAATGTTTGCGAAGGTAAAGGCGATCTAAGGAGTCTCATACTGCATCAAATGTGTACAGGCCTCACTTCCAAACGCTTCACAAATTAATTTTTATAAAACAGGACTACCAGGGTTTGTCTGGATCATCTCCCACCGTTAACAAAACAACTGGTCTTGTTTATCTTCTGTGGACTGGTTGTTGTGTCAAACATTCCTATGATCTAAGGTCAGCAAATTAACGATGTGATGACAATTCTTACTTTTCACACCTCCTCTATTGTTGTAGGTGTATAAACACATAGACAGTGTTACATTGGTTTTCATCAATGGTTCTAAAGTTTTGCACTGTAAAAAATAACTTTCTCTTATACGAGGATGCTGGAATGCTAGATATTTGTTTTCTTCTCGCTTTGTCTGCTTCTAGAATATTCTAGTACACCTCAACTTGTTACTAGGTAGGTTCTCACGTAGGATTTTCTAAAAATATCTTGATTGCATCAGATTTCATCATCCTATTCCACACAAATATGGCAGTTAAACTGACAATTGACGTCAATAGAAGCTTCCAGAAAAACAAGTGCAATTGCGTTTGCTTTGATAGGGCACCACAACAAAGTATTAACTAGTACGACAG